GGAAGAACTACGGTGCTCCTGCAAAAATTTGAGATAGAAAGCAGGTGATTAAAATTGATCGACGGCAGTTGAGATGGTGGAGAAGACGGAGAGTCGAAGGCAGAACTATATATTTATTCAAAACCCGAGGTAAAGTTCAAAGTACAGAGTTTATGGTTAAAACAAAGTGATGTACAATATGTTCATTTCTTACATAGTAGTAAAATTTGGATAAGTTTATTTTTGAGGACTCCACACGCACCCACTTTCAGAGTTTAGACGCAAGACCTAACGGCTGCAAGGCAAACTCGTATACCATTCAGCCGCTGGTTCTCTAACTGATATCAATCCGTGGACGAACTAGAAAAAACAAATCTAATCCTTACAAACCAACTCCTGAAAATTACTGAGTTTTTCCGAGTGCTTCTCCTTCATTCTATAGGCATCATCTTTAACCAGTGGCTTTTGCAATGTAATTATGAAACTTGTCTGTCCTTCTTGACCTAACTCTAATTGGTTACTTTTGATTAGGTTGAGACGTACACACGATGCCCACATTGTCAGTATGTGATTCTGAACAGTCGACAGTAAGAAAATGTCGTATTATTCTCGATATCACACTCAGATAAAATCAACAGTGAGCGTAGAATGACTACATGTCTATTATTTTGTCTACTAGGAATCTCCATTGTTTGATGTGATTTTCGCGATAAGTATTTGGCACCATTTTACCAGAAATATTCTTGAAGACCCTTAAGTATTTGACAGGCGTGTTCAGTTAGCCATTTTCTGGTTTAAAGTGAGTGTTATATATCTGAGAAACCTTTGAACTCTGTAGTCGCTTAGTGAAATTTTCGGGATCCCTTAGTATTTTCTGCCTAACGCGTTACTTGTTAGCGGTATGACAGATTTCATGATTTTAATGGTGTTTTTTTCCTGTAATTTGCTGATCGCCTCTTCTCATCTGTTGTACAGACTCACAGCACGACAGAAGTCAAAACAGAGCTTGAAGGCACTTACTTATATGAGACGAGAGGCACGCTGCTTGAATACGACGTGCTTTCTCCTCTCCAACCGGAAAATACCTATTTGGTGAATTATTTATTTGGGAAACCTGATCTTCCTAGCAGGTGAATTAAATGCAACCATAACTTACATAAAAAATCTCTGTGTGGTAAGTCCAGCTGTCTCGAACCACTGCCAAGGGACAGCAACCCCACCTCGCATACCAATTCTAGAGAATCCTGCACACCTCGCCCGTACTGATACTACGCCTGCATTGCCACAGTCTAGTACTGAATTAACACAGGCAATACCACGTGGACAGGATACCACATTTGCGTCCATTGAAAGCCAGTGCGTGAAACACCGCAAAGCAAAAAAGAAACGTCCAAAACGTCATAAGACCTCGAAAGCGTCATCAAAGAAGGGAGACGAATGTTAGGCGCGCAGTGTCATCGTTTCTAAAACTGACTCAGTATTTGAATGCTATTTTCGCAAACGATAGGTACATGGCCGTTCTGACAAAGGGGTGCCGAAATCATACCATGATTTTATGAGAAATAACCCATTTCCATGGTTCTGGTATATCTGACCACTCTGTCGCCCTGGCACAGCGTGTCTGCGGATAGCAGAAACAGCAAGCCACTCTTGTGTCTAGACACAATCTCATGCAGCTCCCCACCTGCTAACACCACACTACCAAAACTTGGTGCAGACAGTAAAAAGGATACTCTAGTCCAACCAACTGGAAATAGAAATCTTCATGACACGAAGACTCCCAAAGTCACACACCATCAGGGGAAGATAGAAATGCTAAAGCACCGCTTGCATCCACTAAAAAGCTTGGTAACATGGCAAATGCTGGTCAGAACCTGATGAAGTTCGAAGTCACCGACCCAGCAACGGAGGGCAACCAGCCAAAAAGCAAACCTAAGTGTGAAGTCTAATTTCCTTATGCTTTTTATTGTACCCGTGAGTAAGGACAGCTTGCTTGAACTACGGACCCTCTTGATCAGGAACATTGGTCCGATTTGTGCAATCAGTTATGTGTGGACATTAGTTCAGAGATATTTTGCAGGCTGTACAAGGGTGCCCATGCACCTCAGGGTAAGCCACTCCCATTGAGAGTTACATAGGGCTCTACCGAGGAGGCTGAAAGGATAGTATTACTGGCTCAGCTGCTAGTTATCAACAGCATTTTTAGCATAAGAGTGAGACATGATAGACTATGTGTTAACGGGTAGATTGCGATGGAGTCGCAGAAGCTGGTGCCTGCTACCCTTACGGTCATACGCGGTGTTCCGGAACTGAAAACTGACATTGCTTGTGAAAAACACATGCATAATGTACAGTAATTGAGATGGCTGTCATCTCAGATGCTGCGAAAGCAGACCTCAAACCACAAGGCGACAGCAAACTGTGGCCTTAATACGCCTTCAAGCCTCAGTGGCATTAGAGCGATGAGGTACTGAGAATAACAGTCAGTGTCACCCAAGTGTCCTAACTGAATCCAATGAAAGGAACGATAACGGACAGTTCCATTGGAATCGGCCAGCCAAACCCAGTATTAATTCCCCTATCAGCAGACTACGTAACGTCAACTTCTCCACAACACGCTGAGGTTGTGAGACTCACTGTCAGCTGCCTATATAGCAATGTGAGGGGGCTGAGAGGAAAAGTAAGCGAACTCATAAACCTCCAGTCACTCCACCTTAAAATAATCATTCTCAGTGAAACCTGGCTAACCTCCACTATCGCCGACAAGAAAGACCTGGTGGCCTCTCCGCAACTAAACTTGGCAATAGTACTTTTTTGATTACAGCTTGATTCCACACCGTATTTTGATACAAGTATGGAATTTTCAGCATGGATGTCGGTAGCCTAAATTTTGCAGGCCGACCATTGATATCAGGTGTGCGTCGGCAGGGGATCGAACCTCGGACCATGTGCCTGGTCGGCGAGAGTCCTGACCACTGTGCCCCCGGCGCACTAGGACAGCTACGGAGACTCACACCTGCAAAACCCCTAGGTTGTGGCGACATCACGTCATCTTTTCTGAAACAGTGGGATGAAGCTCTCTGTAAGACCTTATACGACTTGCCTCATCATTCGATGGATTCGGCAAACTGCCAAGGGAGTGGAAAATAGCCATCCTTTCTCTGATTTTCAAGGGTGGGGACAGGCGAAATGCCACTAGTTATAGACCGGTAGCTCTACTACCAGTGGTATCAACAGTAAAGGAAAGCATTATTGACGATCACATCACAGAATACCTCGATAGGACTAATATATTCCTTGAAGCCCAACAACGTTTCAGGGAAGGCAGATCCTGTGTAATAAACCTACTGTCAGCTTGGGACGATTAAACATTAAGCTGGGATATGAATGTTCCAGTGCGCGCGGTCTTCCTTTGACCTTCTCCCACACAAAATAAGCCAGGCAAGTATGGGTAAGCCGCTTCTGTAATGTTTGAAGAACTACCTAGCTGAAAGGAAATTCTACATTGAGGTCAGTCGTGTCTTATCCTCTTGGCATAGCTCGTCATCAGGAGCATCACATAGCTTTATCCTAAGGCCACTACGCTTCCGATTTTTAATAATGACCTACCATGCCGTCTAAGCTGCCCGACTCTTCCATACGCTGACGACGCAAAGATTTGAAGAGTAATATAATATTCGAAAGACTCAGACTCAGGATACAAGCAGACCCAAAAATTCTGGAAAACTGAGAGGTGGACAACTGCATGACTTTAAACCTGAAAAAGTAAAAAGTAGTGCAATCATATGCCTGTAAGCTGCAGAATGCAAGTTAAACCCTGTGCAACGAAAGCTTGTCCTACACAACGTCGGAACGTGACTTAGGTCTGGTTCTAAAGGAGAATATGTGCACAAGCGTGACTTACCCGAGAGAAGTTGTGAAGGCATATACAACGATACATTTTAAACATTGACAGTCAGGTGCACTCACTCCTGAGCTTTTTCTATGGTTGTACAAATCATATGCCAGACTACACCTTGAAGTGCACAACATCATTGCACCCGTGCTGCTTAGAAGGGACGCCGAACTTGTGGAAAGAGGCCGAAATATGTTGAACAGCCAAAGAACATAGGTCTCTTCACACTTAGCTACCGTCGGCTTATTTGGGACTTGATCACTGCCTGTAGGATTGCAAATGACCGGGATCAAACGAAAAAAGTTGTTCTGCCGTTAAATCACTATGGGCTCCTTCGTGGTAATCCACTGGGAATAGAAGGTGAAGACTCGAGTGCACCGCTATTTCTTTTCACTGCAGGTTTGCTGTGGCGGAAACTGTCTACCCGCAGATGTATCTACGGCATTGTCCGTGAACAGCTTTAGGCAGAGGCTGGGTAGACATTTAAACTCATCGATTTAAAACATATTTTGTTTTATCTTACTCTCCTGAGTACTGCGACTAATACATTCCTTGCACTACTATTACTGGTGTTAAAATGTGTGCGTATGTATATGCAGATTTCATTACTTGTCTGTGTTTAGGTTTTCTTTCTTTTTGTTTTCCTTTATTTAGACGACATAATCTGCACTAATTATATCTGTTGTTATTATGTCTTTTATTTCCGACGTCACCAGAGGACTAACAGGTGAAAGGATCAACTCCATTTACAGTAGCAAAGCGGTCTTAACACACGTCATACTACAAACTACACACTGTTAATCCCAGGACCACTTCTTTTTGAGTCAGCCGAAGCTACGGCATTCAAGTAGCAGGACAAAATAGGCAGAATTTTACTGAAGACCAGGAATCTTCACCTCACAACCACGAAGTTAGCACAAAGAAATTCAATTGGTTTATACAAGCTCGTAAGAAACGATACTGGATATTGGATACTCACGGCAGGACAAACTGCATGGGAGACTACCAAACATAGGGTACCTGTTAACTAAAACTAAGAAGTGAGGCCAATGAAGCCAATTCTATTTTTAATATCACGTAGATTCTATATTGGATATTGGAAGTTGTTTTTCTGAAGCGGAGTTAAGGTGAACTGCCTCTGGCTCAACTTCAAATTATTCAGAGAACAACTTCCAAGTAAGTGTTAATAATCTGAGTCACATTTGTCTGGTTTCACTAATACATGGGTAGTAAAGTTATTAGGACATTTTTCTGGTACATAAGAATGGCACTTGAAGCTAATACACCTTTCTTGAGCATTCTAGAAAGTAAGGTTTCAGTGTCATTGCACTGACTCTGACTACATTAAACATGTCATAAATTTGTGATCAAGTAGAATACGCTTTAAGAAGTTTTTGAAATAAACACATTTACTTTCATGAATCAATTTCTATCTGTCTTTCCTCAAAATACCATGATACCTTGGAGAGATATATCTCTCCAAGGTATCATGGTATCATATGAGTCAATACAGACTCAGTTTTTAAACAAGAGTCCTCAAAAGATTCTCTTTTTATGGACATCGGTGGATATTTATCTTGGCTTTTACTTGGCGGACTGAACATATATATTAACTATTAACTAATTTCAATTACTCCTTTCTAAACACATTATAAAGTAAGTTACCCAGCTTTTCCACCTCAGTTAATAGTTGAGTTTGAGATGGAGTAAAATTATGGGCCTTTGATTACGACATGGTTAATGAATATTGAAATGCTGACTTTGTAACTCTAATGTCCGATTTTTAATCATTTGTAGGGTCGTTGGCTCAAATTTCTAAAATATCCCGTAGAATAAAATAACAGATTTTCGGTGCTCCATTATTTCTTTCCCCTATTTTGTCCTTTTTTATCCATGCTAAAACTTTTCCCTACTCAGCCTGTTATGACTAATGAGAAGTGGAGTATTAACTGCATTCGATCACTCATAAAATAGGGAGGTGTGCTTTCTTCTGGAGTTCATTTAACAAGAATACAGCATCTGTATCATCCACTCCGAACTAGCTCCTTTCGATAACAAAATCGTTCTAAAAAAATCCATAACTGCATCTATACAGTGAAGTGGATACAAGAATGGCAACAATGTACTTATTGTGGATAGTGGTAATTATTGTAACCTTAAATGATAACCTGATTTTACCTCGTCCTTGAGTTTAAATAAAATATTACATACTTTTTGAGTCATTATTCCAAAATCAGGCACGATTAATACACATTTTATTACTGAAACTAGTCTTGTTCCCATAACTTTATCGTTATTAAGTTCTACTTAGCTTTCAAACAAATATGAGTCTTAGTATATACATTAATATGCTTATTGCTACATGAATAATACTGAAACCTTACAGCTGTCTACTCCGAAAAACTAATAAAGTTATGAGCTTTAAACAGATCGTTTCACTTACTATTTTCCATTTGAGATTTCTTTCCATAGCGGTCTTAAATAATTGACGAGTACAAAGCAATGCACCGAAGTAAGACTTTGTAAAAAAAACAGTGCATAATTTCAAGCTCAGTAAAGCGTATGTAAATAAAGAATGTGATAATGAAAATAAATTGAACGAAGAGGTGTAGGACGCGAGGACATTAACAACAATGATGCCTTTTCTATTTATTTCAAATTCGTGCACCGTCATTAATCACCGTCGCTATGAAAACCTCTAGTAAATTTACACTTAAATATTTTTGGTTCTTTGCTGTTTCTCCTCTTTATGCCAACCTATATTAGTTCCCTCATCGTTAGTTTATTAGAGGCCAACTAAGTGTTACTTTGACCAAATTTAGGCTTTTGATTTGAGGTTGTAGGACTAACTACTTCGCCAGTAATTGTGACTTCACACAGTTAAATAATATAAATATAAGTGTACATCTCACTATCCTTAAATTTTAACCTTCCCACTTTATGGCCTACAGATAATTCTATAATGAATCTGAATATTCAAGTATTGGTTTTGTGGGGATTTTGTTTGATTAGTTGGAGGATTTCATCATGAGCTGATATCAGCCAGAGAACTATTGGAAAGCCAGCTGGCAGTACTCGACGGCTGTTCCGTCCTAATTTAGGACTCTATTTAGGCAGTTACCTGGGGTTCTGTTGGAAGCCGTGACCAGCAGGATACAGTAGGTTGAAGGTGAGGAAGTAAATTATCGCAGAAGACATTGCAAAGTGGTCACGTTACATCATGATTTGGCAGAAGTCAGAATTCATGGTCCGGCTATTGGATCGGGTCCCAGTGGCTTATGAATGGTCTACCAGCTTGCTAGCCTTGTAACCAGAAGGTTTTGGATTCCAACTCTGGTGAGTTGGCTGCATACTAATGAAGAGTCCCAAACTAGAATGACGAAACAGCAGTCCAGTATTTCTTACTGGTTTTCAATGGTTCTCTGACTGCTTCCAGTTCATGGTGAAATCCCCCAATAAATCTGAACACTCACACTATGTTTTTCAAGTTAAAGCAGTAACAGAGGAGATTACTATTCAACTATACATATGTATACATGTTAGTTAACTGTTGAAATCTTACAATAGCATATAAAATTACCATGAGTGATTCCGCTGGCGAATTTATGGTATTACACTTTGACCAATGAACCATAGTTCATAAAGAATAATAGAGGAGGAAGCTAAACGAAGCTTATAAATAGGATTATGAAAAAAATAGTATAGAATGAGTTTTTAGGGTTAAATCTTTTAAAATCAGTAATTCATCTACTCAACTGCACTGTTTTGAGGTTAAGTCTTCTCCCTGGTTTTTTCTAAAATTATATTTATCTAACTTTTGGTCTCAGATTATCAGTTGTACTCTTAACTATTCCTTCATTTAGCAGAATAGATACAATGACAAACATCATCAGAATGAGTACTGCTATCTTACTGATATAATCATTTAGTCAGCTTCTCTCAAAATGCTAACTTAGCTTTATAAGGGGCGAGTTGGGCATGTAGAAAATTGTTACCTATTCATGTATAAACTAAAGCGTGGTTGGATCCCCTACAATTTCCTTGTTAATATTGTTATTAATACCACTATTATTCCCTTGGGTTCATAGTAGAAAATACGGATTCACTGGTAAATCTTTATTCCTCTCAGTTCCTTGCAGTCTTTAAGTTTTCTCCGGTTTATACCATCTTACCCATATCAAGTCACACCTAACTAGTTGTTTCCTAATTAGGCGGGTACTCGAGATCCTACCAGGTGTATAGTGTCACTCGACGCTCTCCTAAGCGTGTTTCGAACCTATCTGCATTTTAATCGTCATATTTGTTAGACATCGGGTTCTTGGTTAGTTTGAGCTCATTGACCGGCCATCCGGCCTTCAGTATAGAGCAAACACAGCTGTTGTTGATAAAAGTCTGCAGCCAACTGTCAAGCTCCAACTATCTGAACCATAGGGAAGTACTAACTTCCTTTTACATCTCAATAAGGGAGAGGGTGGAATTTTTCACCAGTCCATCTTATTGATAAATTGTGATATCATGACCTACCTATGTTCATAGTTTACTTGACCTCAGCGATAACTAAGTGAATCAGTGCCTCATTTCACATTTGATATCAGTTTAGACAAGGGCATGTGCCAGTCTACACGGAACTATTACGACAGTAAAGGATTTCAGTGAGGATCTGTAATTTCAATAGCTTCTTCCTCAAGCTCTACAGTTATGAATCTATGAAGGTCAAAATATAGTGGTCAATAAAGGCGATTCAAATTTCTATCAGAAAGTGTTATTGAGCTACGGCTACAAGATGGTTTTGACTGTCTTTTAAATAAGTATAAAATGTATTGTTCATTAGGAATATGTGATAAAATGTGAATATACACGTTTGTGTATTAACAATTACCAAAGATTATAAGTTCCAAGGGGTGAGATGTATTTACTGGTGTGAGAGACAATATGAGTACTACGAAAATATACAAAAAACATGAGAGTTTGAGGGATGAAAAATAAAAAATAAAATAAAGTAACCATATAGTAAAATGTAATCAAATAAATGAGACAAGATAGATTGAGTGTAAATCCATGCGGTCAGAAATGAAGACAAATACTGACCGATGATATTGATTGGCGGTCGTGCTAAAATCACAAATCGGTAGAAGTTAGAATTCATGGTGCAGCAAGTCGGGTCCTTGTGGCTGAATGGTTTGCGTGCTTGCTTTGTAACTGGAAGTTCTGACTTTTCATGTTCACCCTATATCCTGTCAATTTCCAAGAAAATATAGAAGATGTGAAGGTTCAAACATCAAACAAATGATAGTGGGAAAAAAGGCCTGTCTTCATTCAGCTAGATTTTAAAGGCGAAAATATTGCAGCAATTTTCAACAGAAGACTAAGCTCGTCACTAGTCATAATGTATCCTATAGCTAAGTTGGTTCCTGTCCGTCAAACAACATGCTCTTTGGTGCAATCAAAAGTCGATAGATACCCTTCTCGTTTTAACTCCATATGTGTGTAAAAATTTACGTGTATCTACGGGAGCAGTTACATTGGGAGGACACAAAGAAGAAGGGTACACCTTCGATTTTCTGAACATGTGCCGAAGAGACTACGTGTCAAGGGAACAAACTCTTATAATAGCGTCATTACCAGACATCTCCTCATGAGCTGAAAACCGCGAAATCCCTTGAAATTATCAATCGACAAAGGAGCTCGATTCTTCTCAAGTTTGCCGAAGCAATTTCTACCAAACGCTTGAAGTCAGATTTATGTGTTCAGAAAGAAGCAGCTATCAGTATTTCCTTGCCCCCCCCATCCTGGTAACTTAATGTCTTCATTCTCCCTTCCATTTGATTGCGCAATCTTTGGCTTCACACTCAACCCCCTTTGATATAGTGTAATTTCACTTGTCTCTTGTTTTCAATGATCTGACTTGAACTTAGTACATTATTACCTAATTTATTAGTCACTCAGCATCTTACGCATCTCTCGTCATTTATTACCTAACTCCTTTACAATTCTATGCATACATTTACTTTGTTTAAACTAGAACTCCCTGTGTATAAACTATGTAAGTGTAATTTTATGAGCGCTGTTCACTAGGTCCAGGACCTTTTGTCAACTGATATCATGCAAAATTTGCAAGAATGGTAAAACTTTTCTGTACATAAACTTATTTATAATTTATTTAAGCTGTGAGCAGATGCTGAGAAGCTAACAGAATAAACATTGATGGTACCACCTTGCAAACGGTTGTTCTTGCTCTATTCAAATTCATAAAGGGGAATAAATATTCCATCTAACCTACTACTTTAAGAAGTTAAGGTAATCAAAAGTCAATCCGCCTCTACTTTTACAATTTGTTAACTCTTGTATCTTACCCAGTATTCATTAATGTTACCCCTTAGTCTTTGCTTGGCTACTCAAAAAGGACTATGTATCAATATTGCGAAAGGTACTAAAGGTTGTCAGTAGGGCAAATGGGGTGCCACATAGTCAGCTGACCACTGTTATAGTTTATAGACTCCTGAAATCGATATTTTCTGACTCTCAACACCTAACTCTCCCCTTGCATGTCATCAGGCAGGAAGAGAAGTCATTATAAAGAAAGAGAGTATCTGCTTACAAAACCAAGTACAAAATCTCAACGATACTGTATTTGGCCCATGTCTTATGTGACAGGGATAATGTTAAGTGCGAAACCTATATACAAACAAACTGAGGGAGTTACCGTGGGATCACCAATATCCCCGGTTGTAGCAGATATATTCATGGAAAAGTGGGGGAAGATATCGATTGAAAGGTTCACCCCCAACCTAAAAGTATGGTGAGGTATGTAGATGACACATTCACTGTACTTAGAATACAATATATAGATAGATGTTTTGAACACAACAACTCGAAGGTGGAGGCAATTCAATTCACTTAGGAATTGGAAAGTTAGGAAGGCGAGCTTCCAATGTTAGATTGCAGCGTAAAAAGCCAAGAAGATGGGAAGTTAAACGCTATTGTGTGTTCACAGGAAACCCACACATTCAAACAGATATTTGGACTTCCAATCATCCCATCCTATGTCAGTTAAACAGGATTGGTGAAATGTTTAAGTGACAGAGCACAAAAACTAAGTAGTATTAAAGAAAGTCTAAGACAGGAAGTGATAAACATAAAAGAAGCCTTGAAACTTAATAATTACCCGGATAAATTAGTCAGGAAATATGTAAGGAAATGTAAAAATAAAATAAATAATGATAGTAGCTATAGTGATAATAATAATAATGATAATAATAGTAGTGATAATAATAATATAAATGACGACACCAACAATAAGGAATCTAAATCATCAGTAGTAATTCTATACAAGGAAGGAACCTCGGAAAACCACCTTACGCAGAATTCTTAACAAGGCAGCCAGGAATAAAAGTGGTTGGCATTCAAACCACCCACAAACTCAATTCGAAACAAGCTTTGTAGGTTAAAGCATAAATCCTGTGGAGCCTTTAAAACAAAACAATTTAGTTTATCCCATACCCTGCTGGAATGATTGTCAGGTCAAATACATAGGTCATAGTAGTAGGACAGGTGCAGTGAAACTAGCCGAGCATAAAATCCAAGCAAAATCTAGATTAGTTGACCCAAATAAGATAAGAAATCTGGAGAATAGTTCAGCTGTAGCACTCACTAAATGCAATTACACACAACCATACAGCATAGGATGAGATGGGATAAGATGACAGTTTTAGAATCTAATGTCACAGCAGGGTGGAGGGAGAGAATGATAACAGAAGCTTTGTTTTTTATCGAATCAACTGCAAATACATGTAGTAGGAATGATTCAACACCTGTCCAGTTGGACATCTGGAAAATTCTACCACCCCAATGATGACAAATAGTAAAGGACAAAGTATACTATAAAACTCAAGTTTCAAATTCGTGTGATTACAATTGATATGATTATGAACAATAAAATTCTGTTCGAAACGTCATCCGGTAAACATTACTGTTTCACTGTGTGATACATCTAATAAACAAAATAATATGCGAAACCTACGATTTACTAAGTAATTAGCGAAATAAACTGGTCTTCAGCCTTCTCCTAATTCTAATTTATGATGACGCTATTTCAGTTATCCTATAATTTTGGTCGTTAACATTATTGTTGTTATTATTATTATTATTCTTACAATTATAATTTTATAGTTTTTTTTATATTTTTGACTTGATACCTACTCTTAATGGCGAAAACTTGCTATTATCAGTTTTCGTGATTTTTACCCTGTAATATATTTCTTATTACTTTTGTTGTTGTCGAGTAAATTAAATGCCATAATATTTTACCAAATGCTGAAAATCCTACCCTGTATCATGAGTACTTTATTTGGAATACAGCAAATAATGATTAATAATGGTCTCGGAGTTTTGCAACATATCACGTATTGACAGAAGTTTGGATTCATGGGTTGGATCCCAGTAAATGAATGGTCTACGACCTCACCTTTGTAACCGCAATGTCTTGGCTTCTAACTTCTCTGGGTGCATATGACTGAAGTGTTTCAAACTAGGATGAAACAACTGTCCAGTATTCCCTGTCAGGTTTCCAATGCTTCTCTAACTGATATCAACTCATGTGACCAATGAAAAGGGTGGCTGTACTGCTCAGCAGTCCGCTCTGTCCTCCTTTTTGCCTGTGAGTGAGACCTGCCCATTGAGAGTGGAAGACATGAAAAGATTAGCTGTCTTCGATCACAGGTGCCTGCGTTCTGTCTCCCGTGTAAAGTGCTATAATAAGGTGAGCAATATTGAGGTTAGGCGCCGAGTTCTAGGCAAGGAGGGGAAATCAATCGATGAGGCTGCGACTGAGATGGTAAGGACATGTCTTACGTATACCTAGTCATCGCCTTCCTCGACAACAGGCAATGTTAGCTGACGTAGGGTCAGACTAGAAAAGAGCTAGTGGTGGTCGAACCAAAACATGGCTTCAACAGTCAATAAAATCCACAAGAGTAAGTTTAAGCCACGTGGGAGGGTGTAGACTTCCTGGTTGGGGTCCTCGCGACGGTAAAAATCAATGGTTGGAAACAGTTGGTGATATGGCTCAAAATCTTTCTCAGTGGCGCAGATACATCCACTCCTTGTGACTTATGATTTCCAATGAAACTATATTGTTCTTCGTTATTGCTATTCCTTTGTCTCACACCTCTGTTTACTGTCTTTATTATGCATTCCTTCTACTTTCTTCTGTTGCTTTGTGTGCTACGTTGAGGAAGTGTGACGACTTGAACTGGTGCACATCTGTGTAAAGTTCTATATCGAAAACAGACAGACAGATGAGCTAACACTTAAAAACTAAATGTTTAGGAAGTAGATCTACCAGTAGGTCAAGGTCGCAAAGGTCGATGGAGCGATAAATTTAGAGATGATAGGTGAACATGTGATTTGTATGCATTAGCGCATGTGCCTCTTCTACATTTCAGCCATTTCTGCTTGAAATAGCAAGACGATAGATCTTTTTTTATGCTCGAGACTCTGTTACCTTGAAGACAGGCTCACATATAATCTCTGTTTAAACGTTTCAGACATAAGGTAAGCCAAAGCGTAGACATTTAAGGATCTGCTTTATCCACGTGAGACAGTGTAAGTTTTAACTTGCTAGCCTATTGATGGTATCATTTTGCTGCTGTCTCATCCCTATAATTTTCTCTCCTAACCTTGTGATAATGCTGTCCTCAAACTCTTCCAATATTGTAAATCTTTTATTTTATAGTGGCAATACATTTTTTAACTTTATCGTTATTACTCTGACTCTCTTGGGTGAAGGTTGTACTCCGAGTAAAGGCGTTGAGTTAAAGGGAAGTGCAAATGTCACCAGAAGCTTCTGGTAAAGCTCTGTACAGTAATAAAGCTTTTCCTGATCCCATGGATGATTACCATTGAAGGAAAGAAGGTAATTAATTGTATATGCAAACTATGATAGGATAAGTCAACCAACTGTATGATAAGAATACCCTTGAACTTAAATTCCCTTTTTTTACTAGTTTTTTTTCCATTCCACAGAGAACGCCTATGAATAAACCTAATGAATCTGTTGAACTCAATGAATCTATGTATACAAGTGGTGCAGCTACTATCCTCGCTGTTGCTGTATTCTGGACAATAATTAGTTTGACATCATGGATAATAAAGAATTTATTAATTTGGGTAATTTATTGGTTTTTGGTGGTTTCTGGTTTCTTCCCATTAGTTATATGTATATAATTGTTTCGTTTAGTTCTTAGAGGAATATAAGACCACAGCCACACGCCTCTGCTAATTTTTTCACGATCGCCCACACTCTTTCATTTCCTCTTCTCATTACCTCCTCCATGTCACCCTCGCACTGACGAATAACTGGCTCGCCGCCTCCCCTTTCGGGTTTCACTCGAGAGAGAAAGAGCCTGGCGTGTGATGTCACTCACTTGGTGGTTTGTTTTCTCAGACTATAGCGGCCAGTCCACCTCCATTTCTTCCCACATATTTGTTGCACATTTGGTTCCCGATGGGTTGGTTCGTTCATTGCCAGAGATCCCTGTTACTGATTTTTTCTGGCCGGCCATCTCATTTTGAGTAGTATTGAGCAAAGACAGCTGGTGACAAAAGTCTGTAGTTTGTTGGAAGTGCCCTTCTTGATGAGCCAAGTCTCTGATTCGTATAGTAGCACTGACTTTATATTGGAGTTGAAAATCCGGATCTTATTTTTGATGCTGAGCTGGGCTGTTGACCTCCACACAGAATTAAGAGTAATGAAAGCTTATCTTGCTTTTCCGATCGTCACTTTGATATCCTCGTCAGTTCCGTCTGTAGTTGGAACGATGCTTCCCGGGTAGATAGGTGAGGGAGGTTGTTTCTTTCAGTTTCCTTCCGTTTATGCTGATTGTTGTCTGTTGTTGTTTTGCTGTTGGTCAGGAATCGTCTTTGCCTACCTCTGTTTTCTGTATGTTCACCTGAAGTCGTTTCTTTGATGCTTCTTCTGCCAACTTGTTGCTTTTCACTTGCATATCTTCCAGTTTTTGGGAAATCAGACATATATCATCGCGGGCGAAGTCTAGATCCTCCAAGTTTTTTATGAGTCCATTTTATGCCTGTTTCTTCATTGCCCGTTGTCTGTCGCATAATCCAATCCACTGCAATCAGGAAGATCATTGGCAATTGTAGACTGCCTTGCCCCACGACGGTCCTTACTTTGAAGGCTTCCGTAAGTTTCCCGTTGTGGATTACTTGGCATGCAGCATTATTGTATAACTGTTGGATTAGATGTATAATTGTATAATAAATGACCTCTCGATCGACGCTGTTGAAGTCCTTTTCAAAGTCGATGAAGCGGAGATAGAGAGGTGACTGTCATTCCAAGCTTTGTTCAGTGATGATCCGTAGTGTGGCGATTTGATCAATACATGACTTGTTTCTCCGAAATCCGGCTTGTTCCGGTCGAAGTTTTTCATCCAGGTTGGCTTGTTTGATTCCCTTGAGGATGATGCGGCTTAGTATTTTGCTTTGGATGGACAGGAGCATAATTCCGCACCAGCTTTTGCATTGACTTAAGTCTGCTTTCTTTGGTAGTTTGAATAAGTATTCTTTCTTCAACCCTCGGGTACTTTGCCGTCTTTCCATACCTTCTCACCAACCATGCACATGGTTCGGGGTTAGATCCCCTGCCGACGTCCACCTGATAACAATTGTTTGGTCTGCAAAATTTGGGCCACTGATATCACATGCCGTCAACTTCATATTTGTACCAAAAATACGGTGTGGAATCAAGCTATAATCAAAATTTAAAACAATTAGTCCCTTTTATAAATTTTGATAGCGTTATTAGAAGACGGAGACTGTCTGAAAAATGTGATGTATTAGCGCTATACATTTCGAACAATCTGATCACACATTTACTTGTCAAGTCAATACATATAGAAAGGTTAAATTAAACAAAGTGAGAGAAAACGGAATTAAGAATAATTAACACAAACGTTTGGTAATCCAATCAAATAAGGATTACCAAACGTTTGTGCTAATTATTCTTAATTCCGTTTTCTCTCACTTTGTTTAATTTAACCTTTCTATATATATTGACTTGACAAGTAAATGTGTGATCAGATTGTTCAAAATGTATAGCACTAATACATCAGATTTTTCAGACAGTCTCCGTCTTCTAATAATGCTATAATCAAAATGAAATAAATAAAATGTGAAAATACATTTCACTCCTACTTTAGTTTCCCTTCCTCTATCTTCCTCTACCTGTATAACAATAATAACACAGTAAGAGAATACGATTCTTCAAGAAAAAAACCCATCTGCACTGGAAATCTCACCTGTTATAACATCAAATATTGACACTGCATAGGTGAATTGTATCGATCTGTCTATTCACCTATGTATCGATCTATCTACCTATATCTGTATACGCGTAATCATGTGAAGTATCGTGACTTTTTACAAATGCACCTTTATTTTATCATACTAAAATAACCAGTTGTAAAACAGATATGGAAATAATCAGGAAAAAATCAAAAACTGTACGTGTAGTTTCACGAGATTGTCTTGTCAGATTGTAAAAAAAACTTGTGATCTCTTTGAAAAAAGAAAATAACAGTGTAAGGAAGGAAATGTACGTGGCCTAAGTCAATTAACTGGTATAGAAAAAAAGATATAGAATAAAATACCTTTTTTTCAGAAGTGGTGTGGTGGGTGCTACAGATAAAATTTTCGATGTAGTATATTGCGTGTAATGTCTTCTGTATGAATATTGATAAATATCGGAGGGATGAAATAAATGGTGAAGAGGAGAAATGAAAGATGTTAGTTAGAGAATATTTGGAAATCAGTAGGGAGTATTGGACGATTGTTTCAACCTGGTGATTGGGACTCTTCAGCAGTACACGCCCACTGGTGTTCGATTGCAGGACCTTGAGGTTACAGGTCAGGCTCGTAGACCATTCAGACACTGTGGCTAAATCCAATGACTCATGAATTCAGATTTCTACCAATTCGTGATTTCAGTACGACCGTCAGCCATTGCCGTTGGCAAGTATTTATCCTAGGACCCACTCTGGTGGCTCCAATGGATCATAACTCATTAGTCACTGGTTGCTGACAAAATTACCTAGAGTCCTGTTGAGAAGTAGTGACTAGTGGGGTCCATCACGTCGGGTGTGAGGATAAATACTCACTGACGACAATGGTTGGTATTATAAGTAGTATCCCCTTAGGTTCCAGCTGCGATACAAGGCTTCAACAACGCATCTTCACTTTCTTATGTTTTCTGCTGTACTCTCCAGCTGGGCCCACGATTGCCAATAATCTCTCATCTCACCGCCACGCGATCTCCTCCATGTCACCGTCGTGCTGATGACACATCCTTCACTATCCACTGGGGTTACACTCAAGCGATGGACTGCATTGAGCTAGATGTCATTCGAAGACCTTCTCTGTAGCGTTTGCCCAATCCATGTCTATTTTATCCTACATATTTGTTGAGTGATAGGCTCTTGGTTGGTTTTTACCAATCAGAGTTTCTTGTTGCTAATTCTTTCTGGTCAGCCGACTGGCTATTTGATCTTAAGTATGGAGCCAGCCAGCCAGCCAAGTGGGCAACTGCTGATGAAGATGTGCAGCTGGCTGTTGGAAATCCCATTCTTCACGCGTGTTCCATGTTTCTGCCAGCATAGAAGAAATAACTGACTGACTTCACATTTGTGTTGGACAGAATCCGAATATTGATGTTTATGCTGGCTGGCTAATTGAGTGAATCAGAAGATTTCCAAACTGGTTTCAGGTCGATAGAGGCGTATCTTGTTTTTCTGATTCTGGACTGCTTTGACAACCTTATCCCTGCTAGATAAGTGGAGGAGGTACACTCTGTCAAATATCTCTCGTTGAAGGTGATTGGTGCTGGTTATTGTTGTTGCTGTTGATGATGGTTGGTTATCTTCCTCGCATCCACCTTCTATGTGTTCACCTTTATTCCTGTCTTCACTGCCTGCCTCATTGCTTCATCCAATTTGTTGGTTTTTACCTGTAAGTCTTTGAGTTTCTATGACATTGGACATATATCATCCATGAAATCCAGGTCTTCTGGGGTATTCTTATTGGTCTGTTCGGAGTATTCCTGTCTTCTCACTGTCACGCACAGTCTTCCGCATAATGCAGTCAAACAAAATTTATAATATCATCTGTGACAGTAGGCGGCCAGCATTGTCTTACTCCTGCAATCAATTGAAAAGCTTTGCTGAGTTTTTCGTTTTGGATCGTCTAACACGTGACATTGTCATGTAGCTGTTAAATGAGGTTGATGAAGATTTGGGCACTGCAAACTATAGTTTTAGAGATGGTTCCAAATTACGTCTCGATCAACGCTGTCTGTAAAAGGCCTCTTCGAGGTCGATAAATTTGAGTTAGGTCGAGATCTGACTGCCATTCTATGCTTTGTTTTGTGACGGCGATGCGGAGAGTTGCAATTCGATTGGCACATGATTTGCCTTTCCTGAATCCAGTTTTGTTGGTGGTCGTGCTAAAATCACCAACTGACAGAGGTAGGAATACATGGGTGATTGAACTGAGCCGCAGTGCCTCAAGGGTTAACGAGCTCGTCTTTTGACCAGAAGGTCCTGGATTCGAATCTCGATGAATGCACACTCTTATACAGACCTTGGTGACAGGGACGAGATAGTTCTTCATTATCCCTCGGTGGTTTTTAATGTTTCTCTAACTAACATCTTTCATTTCTCATTTCATCCATTTCTCCCCTACTTATCAACATCTTTGCAGAAGACATCACACACTGACAAGGTATTCACTTATAGCTCCTTTGACTGAATCAGTGCTGGCCACTTTACAGTAAAGTGTCCGTCGTGAAACAACACTTAGCATGTTATGTGACTAATTTACTAATATTATGTAATACCATTTCATCACCCCTTCAAGCTTTCATAATAATTTGAAAATTACTATCTGCTTTAATCTTAATCTTAATTGTAACTATGTAATTATAAAGCTTTCCAGGAAGAAATCACCGCAGAAACCTGTTTGCTGAACTCCTCGTTGTCTTCCTTTTTAATAGAATACCCATAAAATATCGATCTAGGTTAGGGAATAAGAAAAAGGAGAGCCGTTCGACAAAGGGATTCTTTTAGGCAAATTTATTTACCCTGCTGTTCAAGCCTGGTTATACGCCTTTATTTTTGTATATGCGTGTGTGTGTAAATTCAGTCTGGCAAACATGCCAATGTGAATGAAATTCTCATCGATGGCATTATATCAGAATATGACTCATTTAGGATTCATAATTCACTGAATTCGGGTCCAAGTGACTGAAGAGTAAACGAACTATCCTAAGAATCTGACCACCGTAGATTCAATGCTTGGGAGTATCTCATCTCTGAAGAGTCTCAAAGTGGAGTGAAACAACTGTCCATTAATGAGAACCGAACACTCCACCGACGGACAAACCCAGGAGCTTCAGGTTATGAGGTGAGGTCGTTGATCATTTTGTCACTGGCACGGAATCCTGTCGCTCATGAATTCCACCCTTTTTGTCATTTCACGATATTTAGAGTCACCAGCAACCAGTTTCATCAGTGGGTGATTTGTTCTCATACCCTGCATAGTGGACCCTACTGGTCACAACTTCTTGACCCTCATTAAGGTCACGGATGTGTATTTATGAAGAGTTCAGAATTGGGACGAAACAACTACCTAGTACATCCGTTGTCAAACTCGAAACCAATCAAATCCATACATATTAACACTTGAATATCTTGTTTTAAAAGTTTTTTCATTTATATTCTTTACTGTGAAAATTCAATTTCAGTTATTTGACAATTCAAAATCTCAACCATCACAAGAGTCTACGCATAATATTATCGGTTTAAATTCTATACCAAGACTATTGGTGACATTTCCTTCAATATCATCAAATTTTATCTTGGAAAAGTTTCGTTCAACACCTCAACTGCTGCTTGTCTTAATGGATGCTGTAGCCACAGTGGAACAATGTGCTTGTAGTTTAGAGTGTTGGCCTATTCGGGAGGCATTCGGTTATTGGGGTGTGCTGACAGCTATCGGTCTAAATAGTATACGCACTTGTGTATTTCTTACTCTTGACGCTTATGGAAGCCCGTGTAATCCGTGGTACAGGTAAATGGGTAAATTTTGCTTGTATTCATATATATATATATATATATATATATATATTCATTTTATGCAGGATTTCACCATGAGCCGACGTCAGTTACAGAACCACTGGAAAATCTGGGAGTACTGGACAGCTGTTTCGTCCTAGTTCAGGACTCCTCAACAGTACGCACCCACTGGGGTTCGAATCCAGGACCTTCTGGTTACAAGGTTAGCTCGTAGACCATTGAGCCACTGGAACCCCATCCAATGGTTCTTGAATTCTCACTTCTGCCAATTCATGACATAGTGCGGCCACTTCGCAGTGTCTTCTTCAATGAGTTACTGCCCCATCTTGGACCTGCTGTACCCTACTGGTCACGGCTTCACATTGGATCGGGTCCCAGTGGCTCAATGGTCTACGAGCTAGCCTTGTAACCGGAAATTCCTGGGTTCGAACCACGGTGGGTGCGTACTGCTGAAAAGTTCCGAACTAAGACGAAACAGCCGTCCAGTAATCCGTGGTTTCCCAGCAGTTCTCTAACTGATATCAGCTCATCGTGAAATCCTCCATGGAATTAAACAAAATCCCTACAAAACCAATACTTGAAAATATATTCATTTATCAAGTATTGGTCTGCAAGGATTTGATTGGTTAGAGCTTACATAATAGGCTTACATCGGCTAGGGGACTGTTGAAAAACTAGTAGGAAGTACTGGATAGTTGTTTTGTCCTACTTTTGACTCATCATCTGTACGCACTGACTGGGTATCGAACCCAGAACCTTCCAGTTTAGTGACGGATCATGGACTATTTAGCCACTGGTTCGAACCAAGGCGGTGGGTGCGTCTTGATGACGAGTTTCAAACTAGTACGAAATACCTGTCCATTAATACAAGGTTTTCCAGTGGTCCTGTAACTGATGGCAGCTCATGAACAATCCTGTAATATATATTCGTTTCATTTGTTTGCTTTTCATGTTTGTGGAACATTGGAGTTCAAGGTTAATGGTTGAATTTTCAATAGTGGTGAAGTTTTCCACGTTATGGAGTAGCTAGTTTCACATCCAAACTTCAATCTTTACTAGCCTTACCACTGGCTAAGCGGAGTTTAGGAGTGTGTCGGCCAGGTATCAGACCCAGACCCTATGCGACTGAATCAGCAAGTCCACGCAAGTCATTTTCGCATCTGAAACTGGAATCAACACTATGACATTTAGATGGATTCAGTTAAAAGACCATTAAGGTGAGACCAGTTGTTAACTTCAGGATACGAATCTATTCATTCAAGAACAATCCAGTGCAGAAACTATTTAAGGAGATTAGGAATCTGAGATAGTGCAATTTGTTAGGCAGAAACCTGCAGTTAGTACTAACAATTTTGGGGACAGTCATATGATTAGTGCCTGCATGTTTTAATGCACGTTGCCAACTATATCGGGGTGTTTTTCCTCAACTTTTTGTACGGATGACTCAACGCAATATGTTGAAAAAATTTTAAAAGCACGCGACTATAAATAATACGATCAGAAGTCATTTGCAAGTATTGGTTTTGTAGGGATTTTGTTTAATTGGTTGCAGGAGTTCATCATGAACTGACATCACTTAGAAAACCATTGGAAAACCAACTGATAGTAATGGACGGCTGTTTCGTCCTCGTTTGGGACTCTTCAATAATACACACACAACCCACCACGGTTTGAACCCAGGACATTCTGGTTACAAGGCCAGCGGGATGGTAGACCATTCATCAGCCACTGGGCCCCGATCCAATGGCCACCACCCGTGAATTCTAGCCTCTGCCAATTCATGACATAGCGCGACCACTTCGCAATGTCTTCTTCGAAGATTTGCCATCTTCAACCTGCCATACCCTGCTGGTCAAGTCTTCCCACTAGAACCCCAGGTCACTGCCTGAGTAAGGCCAGTCGCTAGTGAGCACCAGACCAGCCTTCAAATATTTGTTTCTGTAGGAATTTCTGTTTAGTTGTTTGGAGGGTTTCATCAACTCAGGTGGGTGCGTACTACTGAAGAGTCATAAACTAGAGCGAAGCAGCTTTGGAGTACTCTCAGTTCGTTTTCCAATGGTTCTCTAACTGATATCAACTCATAATGAACTCCAACCAATCAAAGGACATTTGTGATTGCTAACGCAAACAAAAATATTTAGAGTAAATTAAAGCGAAATGTAAGTCGATGGAAAATGGCATCTTTTTGGTAGCGCAGAATTCAAAACTGCCGCCATTTTGGAAGGTAATGTTACAATGTGATTCATTTTTAGTAAATCCGATTGCTAGTTTTTTGTCTTTCATTTCTACGGTCAGATATCTCATCGGTCAAGTACAACCAATTTGGATGGTAATATCATGGACTGCACAACTATTATCCGCCTCTATAGCTTTAGAAATATGTAAATATTGGTGGTCATGGCGAGTAACGATTTATCATTCTGATCGATATGATATAGCTGTCGACATGTTAAATCCTCAGAATCTAGTAAATTATCAACCGGATTTAAATGTTGCCGTATGGATTGGATTTATTTGTGAAGCTTTTGGTGCTTTTGTTGAATTCTACCTGGCTATTCTGTTTTTATGTGCTTTGGAGAATTGGAATTCACAGTGTACTAGGACAGCTATACAGACAACGTCCTCATCAGTCGCCAATTCTGAAATCCCAGCTGGTTCACAGACTTCGCCTAATTGTGATTTATCACGGAAACAATTTCTGGCTTCATTTATTTTGAGGTTTTTGATAAATATAACATTGGTGGCCTATGGTAAGCAATATATATATATATATAACTTTATTATTTATAATCTTATGTCCAGTTGTAACTGTGCAACTTCGAAACTTGACATATGTCAAGCGATTCCCGGAGAAAAGCTCAGAGAAGCCGGCAACTATCATCGATGATATTCCTAATTCTGAGGGACTGAATTATGCAGAAGACTGTGGGAACCAAAAAGACAGCAATACACTAGACCGATAAGAAGATTTCTTGAGGTTTGGACTCTTGAGACGGTTTCCATCTAATATTACACAAACTTCGAGGTCTACACTGGCGAAACCCAAAATTTTGGAAGAAAACACTGTGATGATGGAACTTCATGTGAACATAGGGAGGGAAGACGGTGGTGATAAAGATAACCAACCAAGACCAAGCATCAGTCGTCACTTCTTTCATCCCATCTAGGCAGCATCTTTTCATCTACGTGTGGCACAAATGAGATGGAGACATCAAAGCCATTCAGAATAAGAAAAATCAAACTGGCCTTCATTAATCTGAAATTGGTGTACAAACCTGCTAGACTACCTCAGCATAAAGAACAAGATTCGAATTCTCAATAGTATTGTTCAGTCAATGTTTATATATAGTTTACTGCCTTTACTGACTGGATACTGTAGATCAGATGGCTGTGAAGTCCAAGTGTAACACACAGGAGATCGTGTGGTGAAGAAGCAATGAGAGCTTACGGTAAATCGTGGAGTCAGATAAAGGCTAATGCAGCAAACATGATTAAATGCAGATATGCTATTGAAGCCCAATGTTTCTCCATTATTCTATTATTACCTTGGATTTCGAGTGCGACATAAGGCTTCAACAACATATCTCCACTTTCGCCTATTCTTTGCCGTTCTGTTCACTTAGGTTGACGATTGCCCCTAATCTCTCATCTCATCCTCCAAGCCGAAGGATCTCCTCCATATCACCCTCATTGTAATGACCCACTCATTGCTTCCCATTGGGATTCCAATAAAGAGATGGCCTGCATTTAGCTTGATGTCATTCGATGGGCTCCTTAGTATGTGCCCTATCAATCCGTTTCCATTTTCTCCCACATATTTGTTCAGTCAGCCGGTCGGCTGGTCATTGGATCCTCAGTATGGAACCAGAGCAGTTGAAAGCTGTTGATAAAAGTGTGTAGCTAGCTATCGGAAATCCGTTTCGTGACGCACACGCAGTGCAAGTTTCTGACGCATATAGAAGCAATGACTGACTGACTGACTGACTTCACGTTTGTGTTGAACAGAATCCGAATCTTGTTGTTCATACTGACTGACTGAGTGAAGCAGAAGCTTTCCAAACTGGTTTCAGGTTGATGAAGGCATATCTCGACTTTCCACTTCTGGCCTGCTTTCACTTCTTCATCCCTTCCAAATGCCTGTGGTTGAACTGACGCTTACTGTTTAGAAAAGTGAGGGAAGTGACCTGCATCAAATCTGTCCTGTTTATTGTGATTGGTGCTGTTTTTTCTTGTTGCGGTTGGTTGTTATCTTCACCACCTCCGTTTTCTCTATGTTCACCTGGAGTCGCGCTATTCGCTGCCTGCCTCGTCTCTTCAGCCAGTTTTTTGTTTTCCTTCTGCAAGTCTTCGAGTGTGCGTAAGTGATATTAAACATAATTCACTCATCCGCAAATCCAGATCTTCTAGTGTCTTCTTATTGGTCTGTTCAGCGTACTCTCTTTTTTATCGCTCCCTGTGCACGTCTGACGCAAATCAAGGTCTACTACAATTACGGACTCTATCATCAGATGAGAAGAGAATCAAGCTAGACCGTAGATGAAAAACTTCGTCGGACAAATCATGTATTGATCAAATCGCCACCTTACGGATCATCATTGAACAAAGCTTGGAATGGCAGTCACCTCTCTTTCTCAACTTCATCGACTTTGAAAAGGCCTTCGACAGCGTCGATCGAGAGGTCATTTGGCAACTACTTCGCTACTACGGGGTCCCATCGACAATTATACACCTCATCCAACAGTTATACGACAATGCTGCATGCCAAGTAATCCACAACGGGAAACTTACGGAAGCCTTCGAAGTGAGGACGGGAGTGAGGCAAGGCTGTCTACTATCACCAATGATCTTCCTGATTGAATTGATTGGATAATGCGACAGACAACGGCAACCAACGAGGGAACAGGCATAAATGGACTGACACAAAAGACTTGGAGGATCTGGATTTCGCGATGATATATGTCTGATTTCCCATAAACTGGAAGATATGCAAGTGAAAAGTAACAAGTTGGCAGAAGAAGCATCAAAGATAGGACTTCACGTGAACATAGATAAAACAGAGATAATGAAGATTCCTAGCCAACATCAACAACACCAACAGACCACAATAAGCATAAATGGGAAGAACCTGAAAGAAACAACCTCCTTCACCTACCTGGGAAGCATCGTCTCAACTACAGGCGGAACTGACGAGGACATCAAAGCCAGAATCGGAAAAGCAAGACAAGCTTTCATTACTCTCAAATCTGTGTGGAGGTCAACAGCAATCAGCATCAAAAATAAGATCCGGATTTTCAACTCCAATGTGAAGTCAGTGCTACTATACGGATCAGAGACTTGGCGAGTCATAAAGAGCATCTCAAACAAACTTCAAACCTTCATTAACAGCTGTCTCCGCTCAATATTCAAGATCAGATGGCCAGAAAAGATCAACAATAGTGAGGGATCTCTGGGAGCGAACCAATCAGGAACCGATTGTGAAACAAATAGGCAGAAAGAAATGGAGATGGATTGGCCATACGCTGAGGAAACCATCAAGTGACATCACTAGACAAGCCCTCGAGTGGAACCCGAAAGGGAGGCGGCGAGTTGGTCGTCAGTGCAAGGGTGACTTGGAGGAGGTCATGCGAGGAGGGGATGAAAGCATGTGGACAGACCTGGAGCAGGGTGAAAAAGTTGTCAGAAAACCGAAGGCAATGGAGGTGCGCAGCTGAAGCCCTATGTTCCTCTAGGAACTAAAGGATACAATAATAATAATAATAAATCAGTGATAATAGACAACCAGCTTGTCTTACTCCAGAGGCTACAGTGAGTTTTCCGTTATGGATCACCTGACTTGTAGCGAACCCAAAGAAATAATAATGATAAAATACAAACATGGGGATGATTGGTCTGACAAAAGCATATGTCAACACGACATTACAAACATGAATAAATCCTTTCAAATCATATCCGCTGTTTAAGAGATCTATGCTATGGGTTTTTCACCTATTGGTTGACACTTTGATATTTTTAAAGGATAGGTACTGAGTTCGAGTATCAATGGCATAATCAGTGTCACTCAGTGTGGAGTAGGTATATCCAACTAACTAACTAATCACTTCTAAACAGGACGAAACTTGTATACTGTCTTCTCCCACGAAATAAGTAACTTCATGTTGTACCACATGAAGGCTAATCAGCTTAAGCTAGTAAATGGTTCAACAAATAACTTGTTAAAATATGTGTGTAAAACGTGGCCACTGTGTGGTAGTATGCAATACCATATTAATTTGTTTATTGAATATATCATGACAGTGACGCAGTACTGCTATTTAATGGATTACGAAACTTCGCGCATAATTTACTGCTGGTAGTCATAGCTACAGTGGTGTCCATAAGGGGTGCCCACTATCCCCATTTCTATTCAATTTCATCAAAGATGTACAAATGGAATTAACCCTAACTGCTGACTCCAGCGACTCAGGGATTGACTTGTTTTCAGGGAATAATAGTCTCGTTGACTTAGAATATGCAGATGATATAGTCCATCTAGATGAAGATGCTGATAAAATGCAGAGTCTTCTGAACATCTTGAGCTGAGCAGCAATCTTCGAATGTTTGGTATGCAATTCGCTCCCTTTGTCAAATGTAAGATGATGTTTGCTACAGGACCGGGCTACATTAACTCTTAGCTTAAAAACAAGGAGTGAAGTGGCTAGTGGAGCGTGTTGACCACTTCACTTATTTGGAAAGTTACATCAGTCACAACGCCAGTGGGTTGATCTCTGACAAAATCTCAGTACGGATATAGAAGGCTAGTTTCGCATATGTCAGATAACCCCATCTCTGGCATAGACGTGATGCCTAGCTATCTACCAAAGGAGGTGTGAACTGATCAGCAGTCCGTTCCGTCCTCCTTTTATGCCTGGCTGTGAGGGAAACATGGCTACTGAAAGTGGAAGATACGAAATATGTGACTAACTGTTTTTGATTCAAGATGCCTGCTTTCTATCTCCCGTGTGAATTGGTTTAACAAGGTGAGCAATATTGAGGTTAGGCATCGGTCGAGTGCTAGGTAGATGGGAGGGGAAATCAATAGACGATGTTGTGAAGTTACAAAGCCTGGGATGGTTAGAACATGTGTTGCGTATACGTGTCTAGCCATCGCCTTCCTCGACGGGCAGTGTTAGCTGACATAGGTTTAGGTTGGAAAAGAGCCAGTGGTGGTCAAGCTAAAACGTCATACTTTGATTGGACACTAGTAAATAGTGTGTAGTGTGTCCACTCCTTTATTTATTATTATTGCTCCCTTGGTTTCCTAGTGCAACATAGGGTTTCAACTGCAGACTGAATTCTAGCAGTCAGGTTTGTAATAGGGCCACCATGCTAGTTAGGTGGCTGGCCATCACGGTACACATTGATTTGATGATATTAGGTGGTTGGGGGCAATCAGCCATAGGAAGCCTTGTCTGACGTAGGTTTTGTTCTGGCTGGCACTCGTTAGCAAGGCGTATCTTGAAGGAACTGCTCATGCCCCTAGTGAGATTCGAACCCACGTCACCAGTCGGCGCTGCAGACATAGATAACATCACTCAGCAGCTATTCGGGCCAGCCAGTGACCTCCTTGTAGAACCAACTTGAAAAGTTGAACTTTGTGGTTCTGTTTCTTCCTTACTATTCGTCTTTGTGTTAACCGAATTTCTCATATGTCTGGGTGGAAAAGTGTTAAATCATTCGCATTCCGCCTATTTTCATTTGATTCGATAAACAAAGCTTCAATTTTCAATCTTTCCTCTCAACCTACGGTTACATATTTGACCCAAAAATCATTTCAGGGTACTAGATAAACTAAATTACATGCATAGGTCAAATCAGCAGGGCAGGGTCAATTAGATTAGTAGTGTACAACTGATTGACGGAGTTGAATTTGGTTGAATTCGATACTGCATAAGTTTATTTCAAAATAAAACACAATGATAACACAGTACACGATTAATTGGATGAATTTTTTCGAAACACAATTTATTGATTCCAATCATATGTCTGTGCATAACACTACTTTTTGACTTTTTTATTATTTATTGATTTTGAATCCAACTGGTCTTTTAATGATTTTTTCTATACATCCGAGACAAATGTTGCTTCATTCTTATCGTATGTTTATCATTATATTATTATTATTATTATTCCCTATGATTCCTAGGTATTCGTCGGTGGTATAGCAGTAGAATACTCACCAACCACACAGGTGGTTTTGGGGTCCAATCCTCGGCCACCGACTCACTCCTTTACCTCGTTAAGTCACTAATTTGACTGGTAAAGAGGGAAGGTTAAGCATGAGACTAGCAACACCATCCCGTAAAAATAAAAACGCCACTGCTACCAAAACTTCAAACCTCTGGCTTGAAGCCTTCTATGTTCCACTGGGAGAATGCAAAGTAATAAAAAATAGAGCCCTATCGGAACGTTGGTCTTCAACAGCACACTTCTATTTTCTTCTCTACTCTGAAGTCTTTTACAGATGGCTTCACGAATATATATAAATTCCATCTTATCCTCACACGATCTCCGCTATGTCACCTTCAGACCCGACACCCAGTTTGTTATTTTCATGCTGTCTGTCTGTCTGTCTGTTTTCGACATAGAACTCTACATCTATGTGAAGCAGTTCAAGTCGCCAAACTCCCTCAATTTAGCAAACAAAGTAAGAGAAGAAAGTAAAAGGAAGTGCAAAATAGACACAGCGGACAGAGAATTGAGGCAAAAGGAATAGTAATAAAGAAAAACAATATAGTTTCATTGGATATTATAAGTCACAAGAAGTGGATGCATCTGCACTAGCCATTGAGAGGAATTTTCAGCCATATCAACAACTGTCTCCAGCCACTGGTTTT